AGGAACTTATTTATAAATAGCAATAATCTATATACATATATAATGTGTTATAACTGTAATGTGAATATTTTACAAAGCACATGTCCACTAAAACACAGCCACATGGATTAAATAACATGAGTGCACATGCGCAGCGCCAGTGCAACTTCTGTAATATGAGTCAGAAATGGCTGAAAGGTCAATATAATAAAAATAATAAATATATATAGACGTACAATGTTATACAATGAAAAAAGCATACTTTATATTTATTTCCTAATTGTTTTATGGTGGTTACGAGGTCAGTCAAATTCGCCAAACCCATACAGAGATACAATAGTGAAAATAACAGATAAAATATGTAGTTTTTTCTAAAAAAAAGTTTGATAATTATTTTCAAATCAAAATTACTTTGCATGTTGGATAGTCAACATTTGAAAAAAAAAAAAAGGCACGAGAAAAACATTACTTAAAACTTATTTAAAAAACCTGATATTTTGGATATGAAAGCCTTATAATGTTTACTAATAATATGCTAAATTTCATGAAAATATGCTAACTGAGCATGAAAAATATAACAAGCACAAAATGATTACGAGGTCGGTCCCTTGGATCGAGCCCGTGCTGAGAGAGGTAACCGAGTTTAACTCTGAACTATCATTAAACATTTGTGAAGTTACCTTGGAGATATGTCTGCATTCAGTATAGTTGCATACTTCCAACTCCTTCCATTAACCAGTTGTTGCTGTTGCTGTCGAGGACCACTGGCTAAAGGATTTACTGGTACTACTCTAAAAAAAAACATTTGTTTGGATGTTTCCACGGAACTAGAGGTGAAGAAAAACAACATTCAACATACACAATTATAAAAGATATTAAAAACCAAGTATTACTATGATATAATAGCATTCCTTCATTGGTGAAATAACATTCACATTGTAATCGATATTAAACTATGATGTATTCAGTCTACAAGGAAAGCAAATGAAAGTTAATATCACAAATCTCAATATCGTAGAAACTTGATAAGTGCAAATAAGCGTGTGTTTTGAAATTGAATTTCCTTTTGGAATATAACCAAATTATTCTCCATTTGTATTCTGTAGCAATTACTTGGATAAAACATTGACATCAAAAGAACAAGTAAAAAGAGAGGAGGCATGTTACAGACAAAATAGCAAACAAGATAACTTTTAAATAAGGAAGTATATCTCAAAAAGAAATGATCATCAAACCATTAAAAACTGGTGCAGCATACAGCATTACATCTATGTTGAGCTAATTGCACGCAACTGGTCATGAAATGGCAGCATAGATTGGTTTTGAATTTCGCACAAAGCTACACGAGGGCTATCTGTGCTAGCTATCCCTAATTTAACAGTGAAAGACAAGAGAAAAAGGGAGCTAGTCATCACCACCCACTGCCAACTTTTGGGCTACTCTTTTACCAACGAATAGTGGGATTGACCGTCACATTACAATGCCCCCATGGCTGAAAGGGCGAGCATGTTTGGTTAGACGGGGATTCGAACACGCAACCCTCAGATTGCGAGTCACGTGCCCTAACCACCTGGATATGCCGGGCCTGGCAGCGTAGAATTCAAATGTTGGTGGGGTATGTAGCTTATAACTATCCAGATATTAACCTTTTCACAACATTGTATAAAATACGTGAGTTCGTAAACACATTTGTACGTGTTAAGTATTTGTACTATAACTTTTAATGTAGTATGTGTATCTTCATAAAATTTGGTAGACTTTTAGTAAACATTACAAGTTTTTGTACCCAAAAAATCAGCTTTTCTAATGAATTATTTCTGCTAAAGATTTGTTTATGAATATATCGAGTCTGTTTCATTACTATTCTGAATGTGAAGTGATTTTTGATGTCATTATTAAAAAAAACTATTCTTCATCCTAAAAAATCTCAAGTATTATTTGTGTAATCTCTAAAACCTCCTAAATACATTTCAAATGTTTGTTTTCAGTAAAACTTTAAAAAAAAAGAAAACAGAAATGAAATAAATCTAAATTACCATTTTTTATTTTTTAGAATAACTTCAAATTGTAACATAAAACAACATCTTTATCTTAAGTAACTTTAAACTCATAACAGTATACATCTATATACATTTAAATGTTATTGTTTTATAGCTCTGTGATTGCCCTTTGAACAACTAACTACTACTATTCATGCCATTATAAGTTGCAAGTCAGTTTGGGAACGTGGAGCCAAATTACATTACCCACGAGCTACTCTGAGTCTGAGCTACTCATGTGCATGCCTCATGAAACATTATATTATTATTATTATTATATAATTTACCTAATCTAACCTTAATTAACCTAGAGAGATCCTTAATTTTACATTTTAGTTACTTTTAAAGAATAAACATGAAAAACAAGAAATAAAGTACTTACACAAATCTTAATTTTTTTTTGCTGTCAACTGTCAATGACACTTAACCCTACTTTTTTTAAACTAATGGTAGTAATGCACTAAATTTTTATTTAGTTAAATAATGCACCAAAGAATATAGAATAATAACAAACAAAAAAACAGAAAATTTTCCTTTGCTATCACAATTTTTCTAGCATTCTAACTATGCAACAAAAACCATTAAAAATTCATCCAAGCTAGTAGTTATTTTTCCCATGGTAACGAAGCTTGTACTAAGTTGTTCAAAAAACAACACATATTTTGATAGATGAAAACCTTAGCTATTTAATGGTTATACATAATATAGAATTAAACATAAGAGAGAACTATTAATAAATCCTAAAAGAGAAGATGTAACAGGTGGGTGTGGCAAGAAGGGTCTGATTGTGTATACGATGGCTCTGTAACCAAATAAAATTGAAAGCTATAAAAATTATGGTTTGTCTGAGCAATGACAATTCTATGCTAAGTAATTTTATGTTACATTACATACTTATTGGAGAGGTGATGAATAAAACAGAGAAGAGGGGATGCCTAGAGAAAATATATCACATTTCTCACACTAGAGGAAATTCAGGATTTTTTTAAATATTACCTTATAAAATTAAGAACTTAAAACTTATATACTATTAAAACATGGATTATTAGCTATGATTTTATGCTATACTAATTAGTATATCGTAAACAAAAAGTAGTTTAATAACATTTTGAAAATAACTCACTAAAAGACCATGACATGCACAGTCATCACGAAAGGGTTAAATGGAGGTTCTAATTACTGACTTTACTTGTCACAAGACTACCCTTTATGAAGCCAAAGTTACTTAGTGAAGCAAACCCATGGGAAACAAAACATTCTATAAAACTGAACCAATTCTCCTTGGTAGTTAAAGCCTTTGAAGCTCAAAGGGTG